CCCCTCCTTCCCTCTTCCTTTCCATCTCCCCTTTTCTATTGACCAAAATCAACCTGGTTTCCCTTCTTCCTATTCTGTACCTCCTTCCTGATTTTATTTTCTCCCAGATTACAATGGCCTTTATCCTAGTTCCATTTTTGGTCAAGTTTTTTTCTCTCGAATGATACAGTCAGAGCAACGTCATTCGATTTAAGCCATCTTACATCAGCTTAGTTTAACAGTTTGTAGTTTTTGCTGAAGGAGTATATGTATTACTTCTGTGGTTCTAAATGTATCTCTCTGGATGCACATCTAGTATTTCTTTTTCAATACATACATACATACATACATACATACATACATACATATGTATATTTTGTCTTTTCTCACTTGGATTAGGACCATGGGTGCCCATTGATGGTTAAGAGTCATATCTTTTGGGTTTTGACCTTTAGCCATAGTTAGATTGCTTAGAGAAATGCATGGAAGTCAGAGTGCAGTGGGCACAGACACTGAAGGAGTCCTTGCCGCTAAAACCCACGTGCCATCATCACCCTTCCTATTTATTGGTCTCTTGTTTCTCACCCTTGCTTTAAACTGCAGATGCCAGTGACATGCCAACAGACACTACACCCCAGCAGCTGCCACCCAGATCCTTCTGTAGCTTTTTCTTTTCTTCTTTCCAACTTTTCCTCCTTTTTTTTTCTCTCTTTGGACCATAATTTTAAAATAATTTTTATTATGGGTATGTGTTGCCAAAGCCTGATTTTTATAACACAAAATAAATTAAGGATTTAAACAGTGAAAGCCAGCGTCTTAAAATGTACGGCCGTGGCGTGAACTGACTGGCTGGGCGCCTGGGACACAGATTGCCAAACAGTGGGAGACTGAGTTTGCTTCACATGGTCCGATCTCTCCTTTACCCTTAAGGTCATGTTATTCAGTGTCACTGTCCCATGTTAAATGTCTGGGTCAGCAGTGTAGAACAGTATCCTGTGTGGCATACCATGAGATCTTTTTATATCCCTTCATTGAAGCCGCTCTTTACATTAAGTTCAACTAAGTCTGCCAAGAACAGTGGTTGACAATATTATCTTCAAATCTTTAATTTGCAAAAACGTGACTGCTAGTTTACCATCTGTGGGATCTTCTTGGACTGGTCACTTGAACTTAAGGAAGATTGTGGACTTAACTCAAAAGTAACCTCTCAGTGTTTCATCAAGGATGTATTTATAGAACTGATCATACTAGGAGAGATGTTTGGAATTCTGTTATGTGCAATCTTTCAACAAATGCCAACAGTACCACACGCATGTTGGTGAGCCTTTTGAGCAGCCTAAATGTGATTGAAGAAAGTAAATTGTGATGGCTTTAAGGACTGCTGGGAAGTTAGACCATGATGCTGGTCTTAGTAGTGTTTGGCACTAGTCTAAACTTCCATATAAATCACTTTTCTGGAATCACAAAGGGGAGAGAGAATAACTTATTAGATGACTACCAAAGTTACTGACTAGTAATGAAATGTCATTTTTGACTCTCTCAAGCTTCAAACAACACAGGTTACTTTTCATTCCTTGCTCTAGAAAGCACCTGTCATTTAATTAACAGACTGCCTATAGGAACAGTGCAATTATGAATGCGCTAGTCATTGTACATACATCTCTCTTGATATTGCAGCATCCATACCGGCTTTGTAATCATTAATTTTTGGCAGATTGAATGTGCTGTATCGATATGTATCTATGTAATTGTATTGTATGTCTTATAGCTAATTCACATTTTGAATAATGTTATTTTATTTACTTTTTTAAGAGAGGAGAATGTAAATTTGTCAGTTTATTTCTGACTAGGGATATTTTTTCCATTTAGAAAAGAAGAAAAAAAACTTACTATCGTACAGAGCGGTACTAGCATCGTGCTGTATAAAATCATTTGCACATTCCTGAGTTAGAGGTATACTGACTATAAGACCCAAAGGTAATTTCATAGCAAAATACATAAAGTTGGAGCTTTTATACAAACATGGAAAACAACTTTGTAGAACTTTTGCCATTTGACCTAGGATTGGAATATGAGCTTTTATACAATTCATATTCTTATTTGGCAAATGCACAGTTTAGTATTACCTCTCTGATGGCCTTTATTAGAAAGGCAGTTTTCGAAGCTATTGTGATCCACTATGGCAATGTTTTATCAGCTAGAGACCACTGCTTGCCTGAAAGGGCGATCTTAAATTTGGTGCAGCAAAAACAAAACAAAAAAAGTAAATAACATTTGATGGGCTCCAGTGTGTATAGAGGAAACCTCATCACAAGATCATACGTGTTAAGGAATCAAGATATTCTATTTAATAAAGCTGTAGTAGATGTTAGTTGAGTCATCCCAATCTCAAAGCTCAGAGCAGCTGAGCAAAGCAGGGATAGGTCGCTGCGTTGTCTTTATGAAATTGGGATGTAACTTGCTATGCAGAATTGAAGTTTGTGGCTTCACTGCTCATCCTGGGGTGCATGACAGGATCCCTTCTTTTAAGAAAGGAAAACATTGATCACCCTAGCTGCAGTGATGGCTAGACACCTTGTATCCACACTAGTCAATGAAGCTAAAAAAAATTGTTTTGTTGTTGTTTCTTTGTTTGGGGTTTTATTGAAGGGGTGAGGGGCGGGAAGGGGATTCTTCTGTTTTGTATAAAAACAAAGTTTACTCATGCTTTCTCTTCTATTGTGATTGCAAGCGTTCTAAGCGTGTGCCACTCAACTCCTGTTATTGATGCTCTAGGTAATGGAGGCTTGTGGTGAGTTTTATGGTGACTTGGGCATGTCCTACTCAAGCAAAACACAGAACACAGAAACCTTTCTTCAAGCATACCAAGGCAAGCAGCCATCTCCTGAGTCACATAGCACATCACAGTGCACCAGTTTACAGATGCCCGCCCCCCTTTTTTGTTTATGATGCGGCAGTTCCAACCCACAGAGAATTCCTATTTGTAAATTGCCTTACAGAGCTTAAATTCAGAAGTTTGTGCCTCATATCTGGAACAAAGGGAAGTAGCGCACCCATGCAGAAGTCAGTAAGTCCCTGAAGCTGTTGATATTTTCTTAACATTTCCTTAGAAAGAGCTCTGTTGGCTGTCATGAATAGCTGCGGGGGGGCCGTTCTTCTTAAGCGCCTGCACACACCATTTACTAGCGGGTGGCACCTACAAATGGTATTTAAAAAAACATCTAGAACTTGGGTTTTGTTTTATGTTTGGTTGGGTGTGTGTGTGTGTGTGTGTGTGTGGGTGTATATGTTTGTTAAGTTTATACAAGGAATATAGTTCAAAAAAATCAGATAACAATAT